TACCGAGGATATTCTCGATTTCGATTTATATTCCGATAATGCGGAAACTGAATGATTGAGTCGGAGTAGAAAAGTAAGAAGGATAATATAGCCTGCAGTGATGTTACAATAAACAATTGTACATAAAAAGTAAAGCACATAGCAGTGAAATATCGATAAGAAATGACTTTGCTTTCTCTTTTGGGAAGGTAAATACAAAACGTCAATATTTGTATCTCAAAAGTTCCCCCTTTTTTGATAGCGGTTCTTCATCTTTAAAACTTTCTGTTGAAGATTAAAGCAGTTGATTAAGAATCCCTAAAAGCTCACGATTGCTCAATTTATTTTTATCTACTGAGATTCTTCTCGAGGGGACAGTTTCATCTTCAAAAAAAGATCATGATTTTTGCAAATAATTTTATAATCATCGTAATTAAACCTTTTCCCTTGCCTTCTTTTAAGCTACTCTCTCTCGTCCGAGAATTGTTGGATATTTGCTATATTTATTTATCCATTGAAATAGGAATTTGCTCATGCTTTTAGGCTTAATTGGATCATCATTGTGTTTGAAAGAGGATTAAATGTCAGAATATCAGTGAATTGATGTTGAAACAAGGACAATTTGAAGATTCTTTCTATTTGATGAAATTCATAAATCAAATCAAGCACAATGTGAGGGCTTAAAGCAAATGGAAAAGCCATGAGAGATTAATCGTTTCTCATTCTCGTCTCGATTCCAATCTGTAGAAAAATCTCTAACATTTTTCAATGTTTTGCCTTTTATTCTATAGGATCAAGAACTGAATAGAAGAAAAATTGTTGGGAATTTTATTGGATTAAAGTTTTTACGTGCAAAGACAAGTTCCATTTCACAAGAAGAGGAAATATGAAAAGTTTTTGAAATTCCGGAAAATTTGTAAATTTTAATCACGAGCTTTTGTAGCTTTGTAGCTTCTAGCAGAGAATAAAAGTGGAAAAGTTATTTAATAAAGCACATTTTGAGATAAACTGAATGCCTTGAAGGTATGAATCCATCTTATAATGAATTAGTCTCCAGCTGCATTTCAATCCACACTTTCTTTGATAATGTTTTCAAAATGACATGCTTAAAATCAGTAATTCTCAAACTTTTTTGGTTCGCGGTACACTAATAGCTATGTTGAAGATTTGGTGACATTCTAGATGTTTAATGTGACATTCTAGATGTGCCACGGCACACAATTTGAAAACAACTGCTTTAATCCACAGATCGGTCTTAAACCCTTCCAGATTCTATTCCTATCATTTCAAGTATCACCACAAGATCCTCTTTTTAATGCCAGCAGTTGGTCATATCTCTTAAATCTTTCTTTCCCTTTCTGCCATGTCCTCCATTTATATCTCTAAAATCTTTTTGATTCTCTTTCCCTTTATATCCTTGTTAAAGTGTCTGTGCCCTAAAAACTTTCCATCTACTCTAATTCTCTCTCATCATCATCTATCTATTCGTTCCTTCTTTTTCGTAATCATCACATTGCTTACATAACTTAGCATAGGCATGACCATATACATGTATACATGAGAAATATAAAGTGTAGGAACGAGAAAGATGGAGATAGCTCTTAATTTAAAAAATGACTTTTAAACGACCCAAGGATGATGTTGTGGAATTCAAGTGATACTTCGTTAGGATTTTTTTACGCTTTCATTGTCATTTTTTCTCTCCTTTCTCTGCCAACATCTGCCTTTTCTATTTTTCATCCAAGGACACTTTTGGAAATCAATTTTTCTTGAATAAGACTCCTTTTTTTATATTATTTGAATTGGATTTGCTACAGCATGAAGCCGTGGAATTTTCATTATTATTGTAAGAGGTCACGAAAAAATTTCCGTATTTTTTTGTCGATATTTTCTGTCGACGACGACATCTGGAGATGACAAGAAAACTTTATGTGGGTTCCATAAATAAGGAATATTAAAAATTTAAAGAGAGAGAAAATCTGCTTGATTTTGTGGGCGGACAAGACTGAAATTTTTAAATAATTTTTCTCTTGAAAAGTATATTTTTGAATTTTAATCCACTTGAATATGAAATCCATAGCTCGAACGTGAAGTTCCCTGTTGCGATTAAAGCATTAAATCTAACATTCATGCTATTTATGATATCTACATTCACAGCATAGCATATTGTATATCAAGATTCAGGTTATTAAAGCCATTAGAGAAATATATTATCATTCACGGCTACCTCCTAAAATTCTCTGTGGAACCGAGAAAATGTGAGATTATTTATTGATTTACCTCGCCTTCCATTCCTTTCACTTTCAACCTACAGAAACAGAAACAATTTTGTGTGTTCATACTTTTATCATAAATTGAATTTTCCGTGCTCAACACATTGCTTTTTTTTCAGAGAAACTGAAAGACTTTAATTCCAGCACAATTTTCATCAAAATTTACGAGAGACGAAGTTTTATACGTGATTGTAGAATGCAAGTCATAGCTAACAAGCGATTGAGTTTTAAGCACTTTTAAGTGAGTATTTGTAATAAAGTCGTAGATGAGCTGAAAACTGTATATAGGATAAAATGCATTAAACTTTTTCTATATTCAATAAACTTTTCTGAGTATGCCATTTTGCTGGTTTGAATCATAAGCTGAGCTTTATGCGATAGAGTTTTAATTGATTTAAAAAAAATTAAAAAAGTGTTTTTTTTTTCAGAAAGCAATTAATCAGTTGGCTCTACTCGATAGGCTTCGATAAATTGATTTTTCCATGAATGTGGGAAGCATTACGCAATTTTAAAGCTTGTCCGAGAGGCACAACATAGTCGCTACACTGCTACGTCGTCAAAAATATAATAATTATGTGTGAAGGGCCATATCTTTAAGATGGATGCACTGTGAATCAATTTGTAAAGAAACTATTTTACCACACCCTTTAGAATCCGAACCCCTTGCAAGCTCTGCACATTGCAAAGACAAGAGTACGTCATATGATCTGATGTACCCTGCAATGTACCTAGTCAAAATTCGTGCGCGCAACATGCTGTAAGGAAGTCATTCAGATGCTAGTATATCCTTGTATACCTAGCAAAAGAGGCATATTCTATGCCAAAGACATCAATACTACACCCAACACACGAACCGAGCTTCATTACTATACTAGAACGGTGAAATGGAAAAAGAGCTTCAAAAATTAAACATGGCATGGGATTGAACCCAGGACTTGTGGCACATAAGGCTAATGCTCTACCATTTAGGCCACTGATGCCATTTCACCGCTTTTGCTACATCGTCAAAATGATAATAGAATAGATGCTCGATTTTGCTCATTTTGACTGAGAACTTGTGGCAGTTAAACATAATTTGATAGAATTATAAGTCAGCATTTAGTGTGAGTTCAAGTTGAAGCAGCCGTAAGCAACATCCTATATTTAATATAATAATCTTTTTTTTTATCTTATTGCGTTTGTTCAGTTTTTCATAAATATTATTATTTTTAAGTCTGATAACAATAAATAATCTTAATTATCGTACCTACGAATTAGATTTGCATTTTTCATAATTTGTTTAATAATCGCAATCATTTAATAATATTTTTTTAATGAAATTTTCTATATAAAATTCTCAACAGTGGATGAATCATTCATTTTAAGGCTTGTACACAGGCCTATGAATTCATATAGGTATGTCTTATATGTGTGTGTTTATTTATGTTGATGTACTTACCATGTAGTTCTTATTTGTGTATTTTATCATCTTTTTTTAAGCAGTCGTATTCAAATTTTTTGATTTAGAGTCTGAGTGATCTGAAAATGTGCAATTGATTGAATTTCATTTTTCCTTTTTTTGTGGTAAAATTAGGTCAACTTTCAAGGATGAATGACGAAAGTTGAGCATAAATTGAATTAAATTCCATCAATTACACAAAATGTTGCAATCGAATTGATCATTGTATTACCAATGCAATGTAAATTGTCGAATTTATGGCGAATGGTTATGTATGTCATGTCACATGTGTGTTTTTATGTATTTACGAGTTTTTCTATAATTTTTTTAAGGAATTTCTGCTCTAAACTTTACACTACGTATATTCTCAAAATGATAAATATTTAAAGAGGATAAAAATTAACAATCTCGCATTTTGATGAGATAAATGAAGAACCTTAGGCTACAATCGAACCGTACCGACTTCTTCTTATGACATCACGTTGAAATGACATTTTTTTCATGCCGCAGGGCAACTCAATTAATTAACTTGTTATGTTTGCATCGTGGATTGTTCCAAAGTTGATAATTTTTTGTTTTTGCAATCACCAAAATGCGGCATGTCATGATTTTTTTTCTGTTGTCCTTTTTTTCCATCTGGCGTGTAACCAGCTTTATCGAGTGAAAGAAAAAGGCATCATGAGATTTTAACGACGACAAGTTTTAAGTGATTTCTCCTTTCCTGGGTCAATCATTGGTGAGTCTGAGTCAGCAAACTTTATCTTAATAACAATTTTTCATCTACGAACTTACTTTTTGAATGCTTTAAGTTAGAGAAATATTTGAATTGCTCACAACTTAAAACTATTCAAATCTAAATTTTGAAATCTTTCAACGAACCTCAAAAAATTGAAATTTTCGAGAATTCGCTCAAGACTAAAACTTATGAATAACAATTTTTCACCGCAATATCACTTCCAACGAGAATAGTCGATATACCAATCCAACTCTTATGAATTTTCCTACATTTTAGATAATTTTTTTCAGCATTTTTTTTTGTTTTTTTTTTGGTTTTTTTAATTCATTTTATTTAACTTTTTTTTTATTCTTGTTAGTTCAACTACAGATGCACTCTTATGAATTAATGTAAATGTAAATTTCCTCAACCAATTATTGGAAAATATAATTTTTTTAATAATATTATTTCTTCTCATGTATGTGTATATAATAATCAACTCTACTCAATCAATTAATTTAATTGCTAATGAATTTTTTTTTTATATATTTTTCATCATATAATTCAATCAACTTTTTTTTTCTTTATTTTTTATGTGAATTTTTTTTTGCATATTTTTTTTTCATGTGAATTAAACTCATTATTAATCATTTTTTTTTGTATTTTTTTAATGAACATTTTTTTCATCATCATTGTTAAAAACATTATAATATGAATGAATAACAATTAACATATCACTGCATAACACATTTGCTTTCGATTTGTGTTTTTAATTCGTTCACTTGTGATTCTATTGAATTTTTCAATTCTGTAAAATATGAAGAGAGAAAATGGATTTTTTGATTCGTTATGTGTTTTTTGATAAAAAAAAATAAAGTATAAATTCAAAATAAGGAATGTAAAGTGAGTAAGTTTGGTTAGCTAAGTAGGATAGAGTAGAATAGTTAATAAGTTAGCAGTTTAAGATGAAATAGCAGAGCTCAAAGTCGATAGGGTTCGAATCAACTCAACTTTTCTCGAGTTAACTTCATTTTTTTTCGAGTCAACTCGATAATTTTTTTTGCATGAAGAAGTTGACTCCAAGCCGATTCAAGTCGAGTTGACTCGGAATAAATGAAGTTGACTCGAGGAAAGTAGAGTCCACTCGAAAAAACCCGAATCAACTTCGAACTCTGTGAAATAGGATAGAAAATATCTTTTAAAGTCGTTCAATTTGTAAGTTTAGATTACATACAAAGTGAACGACTCTTTGGCAGATGAATGACTGTTTTCTTTAATTTGATTTCATAAAGCTAGTGACCGCAAAAATAGCAACAACAATTACATCTGTTTGTCAGAGAAATCCACTTAATGGAATCTTTGTGGCATCAAGTTTCATAAATGTTTTCTCATAACAATGCTTATAACTTTTGTCACATCTGCTCGAAACGGTCATTCATTCAGCTAAGATTGTGACATTTAGAAATAAAAAACATTTGAAGAGGAAAATTATAAAGTTAATAAACGAAAGTTCTTACAATATTGTTTCCAGAATAAAGTCAAAGAACTTTCCACATTAAATAGAAAAAAAAAAAACTGAAAAGTTTTGGAACTAAAAATAATATTTTTTCATATCTTTACCACAATTTTAAAAAAATATTATTCCTCATAAAGTTATGAATTCGGTTTCATAAACTGAGTCAAAATATTGTGGGATAAACTTTGAAATAATCTTTCTGAAAAAGATGTGCATGAATGCACTGGAAGCTTATTATGAGCTCAACAAAATAAAGATATATTCAAAAATAAATCATAAAAAAACTTTGAGATTGAAAGTTATGGATGAAAAAGTCTTTTGTATGTTGAAACCGAATCCTATTATTATATCCTAACCACAATGACATATCTATGACTTCATATTGATGTCACATATTATCAATTAACTTTAATTTCATCCAATTGATATCAATTCATCAATAATATTGGGTATTGAGCATGAATGGACAAACTTTTAATGCTTATTCCTTGTTTATAAGTTTGAAAATTATTAGGAACTTGATTGTATGATCGAATAGCATGTTATTTGCTGAAATTCTCATTTATTCGATAGAATTGTTTGAGTTTGCAATACTATAGAGGCAATTCTACTAGAAGCTGTCAATATTGAACAACAATTCTGAGAAAAAAATCAATAAAACCTTCGTAAACATAAACAAATAATACTTCTCAATAGATTGAATCAAACATTCATTTTGAGTCTATGCTAGAGCTTTAATTAAATAGATGAATAGTAAAGCCTTACATTGTATGAAAGGTTGATCATCATTAAATACTTGTCATAAACCTTAATTCATCGAATGAAAATACTGTCAATTGACATTTTGACATCAATATGAAATTAATAGACCATTTTAATGGAAGCACGTGTGTGCGTGAACATTTACATATGTCTGTACTAATAAGTAGGTAGGATGGCATTTAAATAATAAGTGGATTCGATTATATTTAAGTACGTTTTAAGGATAATAAATATATAAGTTTTATGTTTAATTTACTGACATTTTATGAATGATTGTCACTGAAAACTGTAATATAATCGATTTCTTAATTTTTCCCATTCCACAATAATCAAATAGATAACCAAAAGAAAAATGTGTAAGTTTTAAGAATAGATTAGATAGATAGGAAAGAATACAGCTGAAAAGAAAGCGAAAAAATACAAATCGAGAGACAAAAAACTTACTGGTAAAGTCGTCCAGATCCTCAGCTTCAGCTTCAGCTGCCAGCTCTTCTGGAGTCTTCTTCTTTCGCATCAGAGGATTCGGCTCTTCTTGGGGTAGTTGTTCCACAACTTCTTCCTTCTTTTTAATGTTGTACTGAAATGATATGAAATTGAAAGAATTTTTTAATTAAAATTTCCAGATATGTACGAAATGGAATGCAAATGCACAAATATTTGAAGATGTAATATTAATATGGAGCATGATAAAATTCCATTTGAAAATATGATTATTAAAATGTTTGTACCTTGTGGGAATTTAATTTTATTCAATTGCAGATATGTCAAAAAATATTCTAAATATTGAAATTACTAAGAGGTGTTCACTTATGATGTCTGATAGATATGGATTAAAGAGCTTATCTGTCCAGTTCAGGCCTGAACTTAGGGCTTGCATTGAAACTTGTTATTTGTGTATGATGGATAGCCGAAATAAGATAAGTACCTGGGTGGCTGAGTGGCAGAGATCTCTGATCGAGTGGTCAGAAATCGCCTCTTTTGAAGTAGTGGGTTCGATTCCCATCGAACCCGACTTGTTTTACATTAGTATACACATATGGCAGTTATAGGGAGATCTACATCCACTATAAATGGATTTTGTCACTGAAATTTTGTTAAATGTTTGACGAGTTCCTGGTCATCATAATCATCATAAGTGAACAACCCCTAACGTTTTGTTATAATTCCACAATTTATGGCTTTTAACTTTTTGAAATTGAAATATGAAAATAGTTTGAATAGAAATAATATAAAATAGAAGTGGAAGTAATATCAAAATTTCCAGCATTATGCATTTCAAAAGTTTACATCTTCATTATTAAAAATTGTGATCACTATCGTTGCCTGAGCAATTAAATAAAATATCCATCCATAGTATTGAATTTCCATATGTAAATAGACTTCTGCAAGCCTTTTTCAATCACTCGATGCTTTTCATCAAAGCGAAACAGTGCATGAGTGGATGAATAGCCTTTCACTCACTACGCATAGCGATGACGATGAGAAGAAAGGGACTTGTGTCATTAAAAATGAAACACTTCTATTCATTTTGTATTGCTTTTCAAAGCTTTCTCCAGTGATATTGGCTTTGAGCACTTTTCACGTCACACAGCGTCGAGCAGAGATGAATGTAGTTTTTTTTTCATTTCTCATTTCTCTTTACTTTGCTGTTTGTGATGTCAAAAAGTATAAACTTGAAAAAGTAGATTCTCGTCGTTATAAAAATGAATGATGTAACTATATAGCTTTAGAATTGCATTCGAGAACTGAGACAAACAAAAATTGTTTCATTTTATTTTATTCAGCAAGTGTTGAATGAGTTCCTTTAAATAAAAGTTGCAGATGAAATTGAGCTGTTACTTCAATGTGAACTTGTTCTTATCACAAATTGTTATAGCTTCAAGATGATTGTCCGCACATCAGAAATCAATCTGACTCCGTTAGGGAGTCACTACAATGTGTAAATAGACTCCCTACTAGAGTCAATTTGACCTCCAATCGGATAAATTTGTATTTGATGACAGCATTCATTTGGATGAGTTTACATCACATAACATGTTAAAAATATTGATTGCATCTATTTTTGGACAGCAATTTTCACTTCCTTTGATCATAAAATTTATGCTAAAATAGAACTTTTTATGATACACATTTTTTGCTCTTTTATGAAATTTACAGCTCAATGAACATATCAAGTTATGCATAAACGTTTTTCCAGGTCTCTCCTTTAAAGGTTTTTAATGGGCTTCATAGACTTAGTTCACATATATGTATATTTTAACACTTCAGTTAACATAACGTTTTGCTTCATTCACTTTCTTTCCTTTTTTTTTTTCTTTCCACAAACTTTCGTCTGTGCATCTTATTTCCTTTCATTTCGTCAGATGAATCTTGTGTGGGACGATTCCTTTCCACAATTTTGCGGAGTGTTCTTGGACATTATTCAGTGATCTTTTTTCAGTTGTCTAACTTGTGTGGTATTTAAGAAGGTAAATGATTCTCGGAAGGATGTTTGTTTGAATGACATTTGATCAGTCTAATGTATTATATGCTACCTTATATCATTTTTATCCCTTAATAATCATAATTGTTTAAGAGACGAAAAGTGAATGTGATTTTAGTGGATCTGGATTCCAGGAAGGTATGCTTTACCATAAATTGAAAAATAATGTTTTTTAACAAAGGGGAACACAACGTGATGGGAAAATTCAAATTGAATTCCCATAAAAATTATGATATTCCCAAAATATTGTCTTCTTCTCGTTAAAACCTTGCTACATTGTTGAAGACTTTCCATCAAAACCTTTTCTCATCATGTCGATATTCCCCCCTGGTTTATAACCTTTCAAAAACAAATGTTTAAAGAATTAAAGCTCATGCACGAGAATCAAAGTGATGTTGACATTTTGATATCTATTTTTATGTTCAGCTTGTGATCAATTAATGATGAATTATATTGAAAAATAAAAATAAATTTTAAATGACGGCTGTTACAGACTTAATCGCCATAAATAATACATCAATCAGTATCCACATGTTTACTAATGATTTCACATAGATAAACATAATTTTACCACCAACGCGAATAGATTTTGTAAAAAGAATTTATAATCAAGGATACTCCATCAATTTCAACCTACATGCTTTGCTTATTTTTATTTTATTAAAAGCCCAAAGCACAAAGCTCTGTAATAATGCCATTCGAGCATTCGATTTTTTTTTGTTTCATATAAATTTATTTCCTATTTAACACATTTCAGCTTCAGAGGGACATGAGCCTTCATGGAAGTATTTTTAAAATGATGTTAATCTTTAGGAATTTGTGGAAAATCTAGCTTAAATGAGAAAATGGAAATAAAATTGAAGATGAATCTTTTCAATCATTCAAATTGAATATTCCTTGACCCGGATTAAACGTTATTGGTAAACGAACTCGCTTGCAGTCCTTACTAAACACAACTTTTTTTTTGCGTTGTATGAAAAAAGCTAATGAAGGAGCTAACAAACAAAATTAAATTATTTTGACTTCGAAAGTAAAAATAGCTATTGGCTAATAAACATAAACAAGTGTTAAGTCCATTTTATGTAGCGGAAGTTTTGAGAAAATGTAGAACGAATAGATTTTATAGCTTTTAACCACGCATACACTATGTTTTATAAGAAAATTGGCTTTAATAGCTGCTTATTAGTAGCAACGTTATGGACGTTAATTGACTCAAATGTATTTAAATATTTCTGGTTTGTTTATGCAACTAAAATTTATTGATGCTGTCCAAAAGGAGCAAGATTGCTTGTCTACAAGATTTAAAGGAACAGTGAACGAAGAAGAATGAACCGAAAAAAAGGAAATTTGCAATAAAGACAGAGTAAATATTACATCGTAATGAAAAATCTAATTAAAAAAGGCAAATTATCTCTGCCATACGATGGAAATGGTGCTTATGGTTGTTCTTCTTCATGTTTCTACAAATTTGTGCTTCAAAAAAAAAAGAACAGTAAATTTCTTTTTAAAAAGATTCCTTTTACCCAGCGGATACATAACAATCGAAGGCACAAGAAAAGGATGTAACAAGGCATGAGTTCATTTCCACTGGCGAGAACCATAAAAATTGATCATTATGAGAACGAAACCATTCAGCTGTGGATATGATAAAAAAATAAAATATTTGGCACAAGCAGGAAAGATAGAAGACGAAAAAATCTTCCGGCAATTAAATCGTGTTTTAATCTTTTTAAGGCTGGGAAATTTTCTTCGTTTTAATTATTTTGTAAAGTTTTCACTTATCTTCTCATGTTAATTCCAAACACCACCACAGCAAATGTTCCTCCCCTCTTTATCTTATGTTAATTCCATAGCTTTAATTTTAATCTTGCTTTTTTCAGTTTTTCCCCTTTTTAAAAAGTAATTTTTGCGTTCTTAATTTATGAATATATGGATATCTTATACATGAGAAAGAAAGCATACGAGTGAAAGATATAAAAGGAACGAGTGTAGGAGGTATTGTTAGAACACATTTTACACGTTCGAGTGTAGCTTAATGAATTCAGATGCATTGTTCAGAAAATTATCTTCAATTGTATTTTTATTAATGAGAACAAGCCTTGAGCTGAGCATCTTTTGTGCTTTCAAAGAAAATCTTTGACTCTTTGGCATCGACAAACAAAGTCATGTGTCCTCAATGAGTTTTAAGACCTGATGTACCCTGCAATGGACCAACTTTTGTAACTAGAACTTTCATATTAAAAACATATTTTTCTTGGCCTGGCATTGAACTTAAGACCTTTGTGAGGATTGGAACTCTCTAGCATTTACACCACTGATGCAATTCCACCATTGCAATGCTAACGGATACTGCCTTCTAGTATGTAAAATGTTTTCTTAAAATTCATGCAAATATGTGTTTTCTCTTAAATATGTGTGTAATAAGAACATTTTTATGATAAGGGGCCATTCACTTATTACGTAACGCTTTTAGGGGGAGGGGGGGTCTAAGATTTTGTTACGGTTCAAACAAGGAATTTTTTTTTTCATACAAATTTTGTTACGAGGGGGGGGGGGGGGTCTAAGAAGTCATTTTTTCGCGTTACGTAATAAGTGAACAGCCCCTAAGATATTTTTAACTTTATTCAAAATTTTTCTGCTCTGCTTGAAAAAAAAACTTTATTAAAAAAGTTACGAATTTTTTTAACCATTTTAAAATAATAAAAAATCTTAAAATTTTTAAAACCTTCAACTAATTGTGGATGTATTTCGAAGAGCCTGAGCATAGGGCTCGAGTTGAATTGATTAAATTTGTATGACGGATAGCCGAAGTGAGATAAGTACCTCGGTGGCTGAGATCTCTGATCGAGTGGTCAGAGTTTGCCTCTTTTGAGGTCATGAGTTCAATTCCCATCAAACCCGACTTGTTTTACATTAGTATACACATATGGCAGTTATAGCGAGATCTATACTAATTAAGGAAACTTATAGCATTGCTCACATTGAGTATGAAAAATCATGCTGAATATGCACCATCAATCAAAAATGAGAAACGTGAGTACGAAGGTTCATCTGTCAATCTTTTGATCAACAGAGAATTTCATATGACTAACATG